AAGCAATGAATTTAAAAGCTCTGGGCAATCATCTGGAGATGCGATGTAAAGTTTATTTATCACCCAGACTGGAAGTATGTATATATCTTGCACAGTATGCCTTTGTTCCCTACGCAGTCTGGAAGCACCGGCTATCAGTGGTTTCCTGATTTAGACATTTAAATTTCTTTCATTGGATACAGATGTTGCTATGATAATCTATGCTTCTGGTATTTTGTTTTCAGACATCTGCAGACCAATCTATCTGGGACTATTTCATAGTGTCTTTCAAAGATGAAAGCAGGTTTAAAAAAAAAAAAAGCAGCTGTCATTCCCAGTGGGGTATTTCATCTTCAGCTGATTATGCTCTCTGAACTGCACATGACCATCTGAAGGCTTGTAGCAGGTTCATGAAACAAAGCTTGAGTTACATGTCCATCAGGGTTTGGGAGAGTAGGCATGTCTGCTTCAGATGGTTATGCAGGTGGTTATTTCTGCTGCAGACGTATATCAGCTAAAAGAACTTCAGCAAATCTGAAGTGCAGGTGTTTCTAGCATTCGTTGTTGCTAGACTTGTTTTTTTGTTGTGTGGTGAAAGTTAGTTTCTGGATTTTATTTTTTTAATTGTATGGTCATTTTATTCTTTTGTTCATTGTATTTATTTATTTTAGATCTAGATGCACTGACATAACAGGTCCTTTGTTCTGTTTATATGTTTATGGGGAGAAAGAGGAGCTGCTGGTGGTTGAAATGTTCTAGTGGTATCTAATAATGAGGAGTAGATGGGCTGCATGAAAGGATCTGGGAGTGTGAGCATCAAAGATGACCGTTTCATGTATGAAACTGGTACTCCTTTTTCCCTTCTCTCAGGCAGCAGGGAAACCGTAAGGTACGTTTTCTGCTATTTTTCATACCTGGTCATCCCATGGGTCTGTGTCTTCCATGTGTTTGTCTGCCATTACATGCTTAGAGTTTGAGCTTCCACAAGTAGCACCTATTTGACCAGCATGAGAATTCAGAATTAATTTTTTTTAAAGTAGTAACGCTACTGCTATGAAGTAGTCCGCATGGTAATGATTTGTAAAACTGCTTATACTTTCTAAATTAACAATGATAATGAATTCAGGCTGGAATCTAAAGAAAATTATGGGCAGCAGAGAAATTTTCCGTCTTTCTGGAAATCCATGTGGTACCCAGACACAGATTAGAAGGAATAAGCTGACAAACAAAAAGCAATATCCAGACAAAAAGGAGAAACATCTTTATTTCCTCAGCAGTGAGACCTATGTCAAAATAAAACATATCTATTCTTGGGTATTAGAAGTCTGCTGGGCAAAATGTGCACTAAGAACTCAATATCTAAAGTTGTGTCTGAACTCGGCTTCTGGGTTTTTCTGACTCCTGAAGCCATGGAATGAATATAAAGCAGCAGGTTAATCTTCTCATATCTCTTTGAAGTTATTTTTATCACTGCAAATATTCTTCATATTGGTGGCTCACCCCAGCCGTGCTGGACTGAAGTATAAGAGATATTACTCACTGTACAGAAATGCACTAATACTTCTTTATGTTCATGGTCCAGACTGTCTGCTGCTGAACACAGCATGCCAGGGCAGATTTACACCAGGTCACAGCCTGATGGTGCACCTTCCTGCAGTGCTTATCTTTGTTTATTGTACACACTTAAATTTTCTTTGTCAATATATGTACACCCTTTCAATAACACCGGTTTTCACTTGCACAACCACTCCATTGCAGGCTGGCTGCAGTCAGTAGGGATGAACGGGTCACAGGGACCACAGAAGAGAGACCAAGGAGGGAGATGAACAGAACAAATCTGTTGGTGGGAGGTGTTGGGAGAGAGAAGAGAGGAGCCTGAAGCTCCACACAACATTTGGAGTAGAGGAGGGTTCGTGGCACAGGCTCCTTGCAGCCCTCTGTAGCATATGTGGGGATTTGGTACATAAGAGGTTAAAAACACTGGTGCCTACTTATCTCCTGTGAGAACCTTGTTGGGGGGAGAGCCAAGAGTTCAGGTCATCATGAAAAACAGCGGAAGGAGTCTTGTGGTGGCAGGATGTTCCTTTTTTGGCTCAAACTTGCAGAAATAGGCAAATAAACGGCTTCAGCACAGAATCTTGAAGGCCACAGTGCTCGGAGTGAGACCTTTTGCTTGATTATCCATGAAATGAATATTAAAGTTGAGACACCTAAGTATGATAATGAGCTAAAAGAAGAACATACTAAACCTATGACTATTGCACTCAACTCTCCACCCAAATCATGCTAAAATGTCACTCCAGGGAGGGCAATGTATAAGGGTAGGGTAGGAGGGATATTGAGGAGGGTATCAGAGAAAGATCTCTCTGACGGAGAAGAAACTTAAGACCTGGAAGAGACAATGGGCACTGCTCCTCTTCCTCTACCAAGACAGGGATGCCTTCTTGGTAAGCATTGCGCCTTCACCTCTTGGTGAAGAACACCCAGGATAGCATTCATTCATTCATGTATTAATTTATTTTGCTAGCATTATTGTATTATATTAGCGCTATTGCAGCTAGTGCATTTATCAATGGCCATTCCAAATGTGTTATATCTGTTGCGGCAACAAATCATTTTATCTTGTCAACTTTGCAAAACTGCCTCAGTGAAAGTCCTTTGCCAGGGGGGTCCGAAACAGGCAACTGTTGTACAGTTGAACTGTTGAACTGTTTCAGTGAAAAGCCCTTAGCAGGCCTGTGAAACAGGAAATCATTTATCTTTCCAGCTTTGCGATGCTGTCTCAGTGAAGGCCCTCAGCAGGGCTCTGAAACAGGCAAACGCTGAGCCGTCTTAGTCAGAGCCCTTGGCAGGGCTCTGCAACACAACTATTTCGGTGAAGGCCCTTGGCAGGGCCCTGAAGCTGGAACAAGATGAAGCCTTTTAATGCGGCAGCATAGGACTGCGAGTTGTGAAATGGCTTGTTTGCCTTATCCGTGCAGAGCACGCTGACCCGTGGCTTCCTCTTCTCGTCCTCCAAAGTCTCTTCCAAGCTCTGCTGTGGGCAGCCGCCTTCTGAAGTCACTCCGCTCCGTGTGGGGCTCTCACGGTAACTCGAGGGCATTTCCAAACTCAGCATCTTGCCCTTGTGCACGCTGTGAGAGGGGCTTCCCGCCGGGGATCCCGACCAGCAAATCGCTCTCTGCCTGCCCCCGGTGCACGATAAAAGTCGTTGGTGTCCGTTAGGGCAGTTCGAGGCGCCGCCTGTCCCTGTCGCCCCCACGCCCGTGGGGGGAGC